GCCAAAGCAAGTACAGCTTCATCAAGGACAAGTAGTTCAAAATCCTGAAAGAAGAAGTGTATTTTAGCTTAAAATATATTTTACAATGTTCGCTTGTTTTTGGTTCCAGTTTGGAGTGGCCAGATTTTTTGCTGTGTTTTAGCTTTAAGAACCACTTGTAGCATGATTTCATGCAAAAGTATTTTTGGAAAACCCTTTCATATATATATTGTATATTTTTATTGTTAGTAAGCAATTTACTAAAATTATTCCCACAGCAGTAGGGTCTACATGAAGTACCGGTAACACAGTACCCTGTTCTCAATGTGACCAGAAACACTATTTCATTTGTTACTTTGTAGCAGTTATGTAGCACTTTTGATGTACAATACATATTTATGAAAAATGGTAAAACACAGAAAGAAATCATGCCTATTTGAAACTCTGTGATACTCACTGGCCAGGTTGTGGTGCACTGCTGCTGCATGCAGCATACATGTACATTTCCCCTCTGTAGGCCTCTCTTGACAGTTACTACTGACACACCAGCTGGGTTTTTGAGAGTCTGGAGATGGATGATATCCACCTGGATGTGGCACAACTGGTAACAAAAGATTAAACATCAAGCCTGGATGTACCTCCACCACTTAAATCTTTAATTTTTTCCCCATGTCATTTCATCAATTATTGTCTGAAACACAAGTGAAACAAAAAAACACTTTTTAATTATATGCAAGACTTGCAAAACTGTAGGCAAAACCATTATTTTTATAGCCACTGTTCTCATTTGCCAATGGCCTCTGTCACCTATTTAGAGAATAGAATGATCTGCTTATCAATAACCTGTCAATAGGTTTTCCTTCTCATAGTGAGCTAAAATGTTATCTTCTATGTCTGCATATCCACTATTGCTCAATGCTTTCATGTAACACTCAAACTATAGGAACACACAAAATGAAATCAAATCCTTTTTAACTATGGTTATTTTAAAATGTGCACATGTTTAAAAAACATTGCAGATGGCAGAGTAAACAAAAGTTGTTAGCATATATTTTTGTTTGTACGGTTGTAGTTTGTACATGTGTTTCTGCCAGTTTTCTTGCCACAGGCTTGTTTGACCTCTTAGCCTGTGCTAAGAATGCTTAATTAATGTTGTACACAAGTTAGGTAATTTTCATAAATGAATAATCTTTAATTATATTCAAGGTTTTTTTTATGACTTTCTTTGATTGCTTGTTCACTCCTAAATGTTAACAGTTTTTATGTACTGTAACTGGGTTTTATGAAAGCGAACATTTATAAACATTTATCCAGAAAGATCCTTGCACTTCATTCCAATTCAAAGAAGATGATTTCATTTGCTGTAGAAACCATTTGGTAATGCCAATACCCCTTGGCTATGAATGCAAAGTGCATTTCAAATTAAAATTAGTCTGCACTTTGTTGGGTTATTTTTATATTTTGTGGCAGCTTAAGTACACATTGAAATTGCATTTGCCAAATAAAATATATGTTTCTGTCTACGAAAATATACTCGCTTGTATTCTGTTCTTTTTTTTTTTTAAGAATAAGCCTCAAAGCATCATGAGCATTTCTCACAATTTGGCCTTGCCCTCTACAACGTCCACCTCTTCCCCTTCCACAACTACCTCTTCCACAGCTACAACCTCTACGCCCCCTTCTATATGGAACTGGCTCACTTTCACCATTTGTTGTGTTCAGAGAACTGCTTGATGCCTGTAGAAAATGCAGTAGTAATTGTTTAAACCATCTGAGCATTTTTTGAGGTAGTACTGAACAGATGATTTTCTGAAAACAAGCAGCCTGTCGGCTGAGACAGGTCCACTGCTAACAATGGACAATATGTATAGTATCAAAGCAATCTGACTTGCTGTTTTCACCAAAAATATTCATCAAAATTTGATACTTGAATATATCATCATGAAATGAACAAATCTGAGAAAGGTCCACATGTAGTACCTATATGTGTATGATATCAAAGCCAATCGGACTTGTGGTTTTTAACAAGAAGTCAAAAATATCACTTTTTACAACGAACAATCACTCATATCATAAGCTAGGATAAGTTTACAGCTTAAAACCCAGCGATTATGTTTTTCCCCTTATTATACATTCAACTCATTAAGAATCAATGAAAATAAACTCCTTACAAAAGCTTAAACACCCAGAATATATATATTTTTAGCGAAAATTAATTCCAGCTAAAATAAAGTATTTTACAGCATAGCATTGTTAGGTGTGGGGATTTACAGTTTAATTTTGTTGAGGTTATCCTTATCTGTGTTGCATCATGGTTACTAAAAAAGATCATATAATATGAATAGTAGATTTGGCAGATAATGTAATTTATGCAGAATAGTGACCATGACCTTCACATAAAGTACATGGTTTATTACATAATCAAGTAAACTTTCTGTCCATAAAATGTATGTACTAAATATAAATAAACCACGGTTTTTCTAGTAACCATGACTAAACCACGGAGTAGTATAGTAACGTATCATAACGATAGCAGTGAGTTATAATTCATCCTAGGCTGTTGCAGCATACTCAATTCCTATACTTCTATATACAATTCCATGTCTCCACCCATTCCCATCGCTAGCTACACAGTGGCAGCGACCAATGAGCTAAATAACAAAAATAATTTAGTCTACTTTCATTCCAATGGTTTTAATAAAAATCACTAATGTCTACACATTTATTACGTGATAAACCGCTGAGAAATGCAATTGTATACCCTGGGTTGTATTCGCGTCATCCTAGACAAACACGATCGGCGTACAGTGTGATCGGGGTCGCCAAAAAACAGTGAAATAGAGTGAGAACAACATGGCAAGAGAAAAAGTCTGGGAATTCAACGACAATAAAAGTTGTGCCGGTTTTCCTTGGAAAACGTAGCGAAATAGGATGGTTTATACTTACCGCGGAATAGACACCTGAGTCGTCCATTATTTGGTAGTATCGAGTGAGATGACGTCATTCAGAACTCTTAGGAATGTACGCCGCAAGTTGGCATTTAAATCGATGTCTCAATCGTCGGGAAAACCATTTTTCGTTCGCACGCGGTGAACTTGCACTATTTTCGTCTTTATGTTCAGTATATTCTCATTTAACACAACCAACATATCATTTCAGCAAATTGCAGATGGATTTAAATTATGAAAACAATACTTGAAAATGCCGCTAATGACCCTTTAAGGCTGTATCCCATCCTTCCCAATGTATCTTAGTCCGGTTGCCAAACCCCAGTTTTTTGGATAAC